TTACCGGGTCGGTGGGCTCGTAAGTGACCTCGATATTCGGGAACCTTTGGGGTTCGGCTTTGATACGGGTCAAGATGTCGTGTAGCAAGGCGCCAAGCACGAGGAAGCCCAGTGCCCGCCCGGGGTGCAGCTGGGCCGAGAAGAGCGACGACATTGTGTATAGCGTCAAGGACCGATAGTTGTTGGTTCTGAGCATAGATACCCCGAGGGGGTTGTTGGTACTCTATCTATGGGTTCCGACTTCCGGGATGGGCCATGGGTGCCGAGGAAGTGCTGGCTGTTCCTTTTTGTGCTGGCCCTGTTTACGCCGTTACGGTGAGACTGTGGCTGATGACGATGTTGCGACAGAAGGACAAACGTATGGAAGAAGGTTATTTTGAGCTAAGTGAAAGAAGGCCTCAAAGCTAGAGGCATCTGGTCAGTTCAAGGTGGCCGAGGACCAAGCGATCGCTTGGACGCACAGACAGGCTGCAGTCGCGAACTCCTCGTGATCGCACCTGGGCCGGCGTCACTGGGGACGTCATATGCCAACTCACGGCCGACAACGTGGGATGGAGGGGCAGGTGGGCCTGCAGCAGTCCCTCCACAGCCGAGATGGGAAAGCAACTCATGTGGGGCCGATCGTTGCTACGGCAATCGCAATTTGCGACCTTGCAATGTTTTGTGTCGCGCGCCTGCTCAATTGACCCTGCATGTCCCCACTCCAAGTCGTGACACCACCCCAGTCCGCGCCGACGACTTCCTGCCTTCGCAAAACGAGAACGAGGCACGAAGTGTGCCCATCCGCCCATTCTTAGATTTCCGCAGCTCAACTTTTACAAGTGCCGACTTACTAGCGTTCCACTTCGACGAACAAACACAGCAATTAGCAAAACATAGGCGATCTGCTCCTGATGGAGCGCAGACACGGGTCCATGGCGCCGCCTTCACGGCCCGGCGTCGGAGGTCGATCTAGTATTCGGCCTCCGGCACGAAATACGGTTGCGGCATCGAGAACCGGAGGCACTCGCCACGCGGCAGTATCGCGGCTGGCGCGAGCGGCCTCGCCAGCAGAGTCGCTCATGTCAGTTGCAACCTCAGCCACGGCAGGCGCCAAGCGCAAGGAACGCGACTTTGATCCCGACGACGGCGGCGAGGCTACAAACATCAACGTCGTCGTGCGATGCCGCGGTCGAAACGAGCGGGAAGTCAAGGAGAACAGCGCGGTGGTGGTGAGGACCGAGGCGACCAGGGGCAAGGTGGTAGACCTGTCCATGGGGCCGAACGCGGTCAGCAACAAAACATACACCTTCGACCATGTCTTCTCTCAAGCTGCCGACCAGGGCATGATTTTTGAGGATGTGGTGAGGCCTGTTCTGGACGAGGTAAGCAGTGTGATGGTGCGCTTTTGAGATGCCGCTGACGTGAACAGATGCTGTCCGGCTACAACTGCACCATCTTCGCCTACGGGCAGACGGGCACCGGCAAAACGTACACCATGTCAGGCGACTTGACCGAGACGATGGGGATGTTGTCCGATAATGCCGGCATCATTCCCCGGGTGCTCAAGGCTCTCTTCGACAAACTTGAGCTCGACGAGAAGGAAAATTCGGTTCGGTGTTCCTTCATTGAGTTGTACAACGAGGAGTTACGAGATCTGCTCGCTCCAGACGAGAACGCGAAGCTTAAAATCTATGACGACACATCGCGGAAGGGCCACTCCACTACCATGGTGCAAGGCATGGAAGAAAGATACATCCAGAATGCTAGCGACGGTCTCAAATGGCTCAGGGAAGGCAGCGTCAAGCGCCAGGTAGCGGCAACGAAGTGCAACGACTTGAGCAGCAGGAGTCATACAGTCTTCACGATTACGGTTTACACGAAACACAAGACAGAGAACGGGGAGGACTTTCTCATGTTAGGCAAACTGAACCTGGTTGACCTGGCCGGCAGCGAGAATATCCAGCGGTCAGGGGCGGAAAACAAGCGGGCAGCCGAGGCCGGGTTGATCAACAAGAGCTTGCTCACCCTCGGGCGGGTCATCAATGCCCTGGTCGACCGCAGTGCCCATATCCCCTACAGAGAGTCGAAACTTACTCGGTTGCTGCAAGACTCGCTAGGCGGTCGGACAAAGACGTGCATAATTGCGACGATATCCCCTGCCAAGAGCAATCTCGAGGAGACCATCTCGACTCTGGACTATGCCTTCCGGGCCAAGAACATCCGCAACAAGCCACAGCTCAATGCGCTGACCAGCAAGAAGATGCTGCTGCGGGACTTCACCATCGAGATTGAGCGGCTCAAGGCCGAACTGATCGCCACGCGGCAGCGGAACGGCGTCTACTTGTCGAATGACATGTACGAGGAACTGACCGTACAAAACGAATCGCGCCGCATCTTGACCGAGGAGCAGGCAGCGAAGATTGAGACGCTCGAAGCCAACCTCAAGAACAAGGTGCAGGAACTCTTGTCTCTGACCTCGAACTTCATGGGGCTCAAGAAGGAACACGAGGGTACGCTCGCTCAGTTCGACGAGACAAAGGAGCTCCTGGATCAGACCGAGATGGTGTTGGCGGCGACCAAGAAGTCCCTTGCCGAGGAAACACACATCCGCAAGGCTCATCAAGCTACCGAACAGAAGCTAGCCGACATGGGGAAGGACCTGCTTAGCACGTTGGCAAGGACAGTCGGCGACATCGATGGCCTGCATGCAAAGGATCAACGGAAATCTGATCTCCACAACCTCAACCGGAGTACGTGGAACATGTCGCAAGTACACGTCGCCGACATCACCGAGCTCGTTGAGGGCCGCATTGAGGAGTTCCGCCAGGACCAGGAGGAGCACATCTCCAGCATCTCAGAGCGTATGCAGACGTTTGTTAAGGAGGAGCTAGAAAAGCTGGCATCTACACAGGCGTTCCTCGACGAGAACCTGGCGCAATTTGGCGAATCGAGGACGCAGCTGCTGGAACAACAAGAACGGTCCAAGGAGGACATGGACACGGTGCTGGAAGAAATCAAGGTTGTTCGGGACAATGTGAAACAGCGCGTGGGCGAGAGTCTTCAGGCCATAGCTGCGGCAGCCGAGCGGATTGCCGGCGATGTGCTGAGCGAGTTGAGCACATTCCACAATGAGCTGCACACGTCATACAACTCACTAGGGAAGGACTTCAAGTCGCTCTTTGAGGATATGATGCGTCACATCCGCTCCCAGAAGGCTGAGTCTGATAGGCTCAGACAGGAGCTGGAAGAGGCCAGCAAGGCCATCATAGAGTCGAACCAGTCGGTTTCGGCGAGGATAAAAGAAGTGCTGGATGAGGAGCGGGCACAAACAGCAGCAGAGCGGCAAGCCCTGCTCTCGCAAATAATAAGGCTTATCAACTCGCAGGCCGAACTCCAAGAGTCTCGTTTGGCGGACAAGGCGGCCTTTATCCGGGAGACGATCGTGGACTCGAGCAAGACGTTCGAGGGCAGCGTTACCGACTATTCAGCGGGCATGGACGCCTGGGATGAAAGGGACAGCAAGTTATTGGAAGATGTTGCCGGGTCCAGAGATGCACTGAAGACCAGGCTGAAGGATGATTGGACTGTAAGTTTCCCTATCAGACTTGTTCGTGGTGATGATCGCTGACATTTCCAGACTGCAAACAAGCATAGCACCTCGATCCAGACGACGACCAAATCCGTCCACGCAGAGACGGTGCGAGTCGTCGAGGAGCAGATGCATGATCTCGACGTCCAGATGCAGGACCTGGACAAGTTCGTGTCTCGCGCCAAGTCACACAACGCCACTCTCCACGAGCGGCACGCTGCATCCGTGCAGAGTCTGGATGCTACCGTCCAGCAGTCCTTCTCCAACATATCAGGCCATTTCAAAGAGACATTCGACAGAGTGCAGAACCTTGGCGAGGAGATGGATACCGATGCAAAGAAGCTCCAAGGAGCTCTCAAGCCGCTCGACGAGAACATCTGCCAGCCACTAGCCGAGCTGAGGGACGACATCCAGAACACGAACATGCGCGAGTACGAACCCACCGGCGAGACCCCCGAGAGGGTCCAGTACCAGTATCCCACCCAACTGCCGCGCACCGGCGCCCACGAGAACCTGATCGCGGCCATGCGGGACTGTTCGCCAACACCGTGCAAACCGAGCACTCCCGTGGTCCTCCCGGACATCAACCTAACACCAGCCCGGTCCCCGACGCGACCAAGCAGCTCCGACAGCCACGACTCCGAGGGCGGCAAGAGCGTGCTGAGCATGAGCATGAGCCTGCGCGAGGTCAATCCCAACCTGACGACTGGCCAGGTGCTGTGTGACCCGTCACCACCTGTCTTCTCGCCTCCGCCCACCGGTAATAATCCAGCGTTGAAGCCGAACACTCGGAGTCGGGTGTCGCGGCTGTCGAAAAAGGTCGTCAGTGCCGTGGCGGAAGGGCCGGAGAATGTGCCGCCGCCGGCGTTGCGGAGTTCGACTAGGAGGAAGAGTCCACGGTTGCATTAAGGCGTTTTGTTTCAGTGCTGCTCCACTCGGAAGTCGCTCACTCGCTTGCTGGAGTTCATTTGTTTCCGACGGACTGGACGGACGGAGTTGAGGTGTTTGACTTTGAAGCCGCGACAATAGAGAGAGACTATAGCTGGCGTGGGTGTTTTGTTTTCGCAGTGAGGCAGGCGGCCACGCAGGCAGGCAGGCAGTTGTCTAGGATGTAGGGCTACTGAGCACTGATACCCATACGGTTCAGGTTGGGGGTTTCTTTTCTTTGATTCACTGAAAGTGTGCATAGGTAGTTCATGATACGAGACCTTCAGATTATCGTTTATTGATCCGGTCACTTTGTCCATCCCTGCCATTCTCTGTGGAGTGTACGGTTGAAGGTGCGGTTCTCGAAGCTGAGTAGGTGAGGTACCGATACAAACACAAAAAGTTCATTCATAGAGCCCCTCAGGCAGGCTCTGAGGGAAAAGGAAAAGAACCCCGAAACCCCTGGATCAGGGGCTTCAACATATTTTGTTTTGTTTTTTCTTGACAAGGGTGAGATTCAAACTCACGCCCCCTTTCGAGACCACGGATTCTCAGAGAGAAGAGGATTAAAGGTAGACCCTAACGTGGCGCCTTGGACCAACTCGGCCACCTTGCCATTTTGATGGGACAGGGGACTCTGTAGTCGTCTTTACATTTTTTTGTGGCGGAGGGCGGTGGAGATGGATGGTGTATCCACTCCCGCCTTCCATCGTGGCCCCGCGCAGCCTTACTGTGTAAGAGTGCATACCTGTGTAGAACAGCTCTGGTGGATGCGGTTGGAATGGTGGCCATGCAAAGGCGTTCGCAATGTCACTCATGTCCATTTTAGATGATAACGTTGGTTGATACGGACTGGCAGCGGAATCTCAAGCATCAGATAACGTTATTTGGCAGACCCCACCGTGCCGAGTGAGTCGTTCGGGCAGGCTCGCCGAGTGTGGATTGGGGCAAGCGCGCCGGCGCACGACGTAACGGCCGCAGCGGAACCGGGGTAGCCGCTTTGAGATCCGAGGAGTGTGCTCCGGGAGGGGTCGCACATACTCCGTAGAGGGGTTGGTTATTGACTTGGAAGTTGATTGGATTCTCTGCTCTTGATAAGAGCGTCACCTGTGTGCATGTAATCCGAAGGGCTCGTTACTACATGGATGAATATAACATCACCTCCCCTCCTTCCCACTCATCCCATCAGCCTTGAGCTATCATCACCACTCCAACTGCATCACTTCGTTTCACATCTCCAGCACAGCACAACTTGAACCACCCACCCAAATCACCCTTACTCGCTCCTACACAAACAATGTCCTCCCACCAAGACCTCACCACCTTCCGCGCCCTCTCCTTCGACTGCTACGGCACGCTCATAGACTGGGAATCCGGCCTCGCCGCCGACCTCTCCCCGCTCATCGCCCTTCTCCCACCAACCCACGCGTGGCGCGCCAACCCGCTGCTCGCCGTGCAGCGCTTCAACGACCACTCGGAGCACCTGTGGCTGACACAGCCCAAGCTAGCCTACGACGCTAACCTGCGGGAATCCTTCAGGCTGCTGGCGCAAGAACAGGGGGTTGAGCTGAAAGGCGACGATCTAGACAGCGTAGGCGACGGACCGGGGCGGTGGCCCGCGTTCGCGGATACCGTGGACGGGCTACGCAGGCTGGGCCGGTACTACAAACTCATAATCCTGAGCAACGTCAACGAGGCCAACATTGCGCGCGCCGTGGCGGGCCCGTTGGCCGGGGCGCGGTTTGACGCCGTGTACACGGCCGAGGCGATCGGGAGTTACAAGCCGAGTCACGACAATTTTCGGTATCTGTTTGCGGGCGTCAAGAGGGAGTTTGGCGTCGACCAGGAGAAGGGCGAGCTGCTGCATGTGGCGAGGAGCTTGACAGCGGATCATGTCCCTGCGAAGGAGCTCGGGCTGAGGAGTGTGTGGATTGCGAGGGGAGGGGATAAGCCTGAGGGTTATGGCACGGGTGGGGATTATGAGAAGTTGAAGGCAGAGGGGAAGCTGGGGTTTGAGTGGATGTTCCAGACGATCGGGGAGTTTGCGGATGAGGTGGAGAGGCAGTTTGCTGAGAAGGAGAGGCAGCAGGCCGAGTAAAACGGTGCGGTCGATTCCCTCGTCCCTGGATACTGACTACGTACCTAGGCAGGCATGTACTGTGCCTTGGCTGATTTGACAGCAAGATTTCGCGCCACAGACGCCGAATCAAAGTTCTTGTGATCCCTCTCTGGCTCCCTTCCCTGGCCGGTAGCGTGCTACCTGCATGTCGGCCGCTCGCCAACCCCTCCTCACCTTGATGGGCTTCAGGAACCCGTCCAGGTGCAGCCCACCGTGCATCTCGTCCATGCTGTCCTCTTCATCCTCTGCGACCTCGGCCGCCCGTTTTCCGTGCACCGTCTGCATGTGCCGCTTGAGGTTTGACAACTTACTGAAACCGTCAACGGCCCTTGGGCAATATGAAAAGGGGCAGAAATGGACATTCCCAGGCGTAGTGGACCGGCTGCGTTGCCTCGATGCAGTTTCCGTCTCTGTAAACTCCGGACCGGTAGAATAGTCTGCCGCCTGTCTCTTATGCACCTCTCGGATGTGCCTCTCAAGGTGCGACCGCTTTTTGAACGCATGCGTGGCCCTCGGGCAGTCCCGGTGGGGGCACAGCAGGATTGCCGGCGCCGGCGTAGGTGAACGGCCGCGTTGGATTGGTACAGTTTCCGGCTCTGTAAGCTCCGGTTCTATAGAGCGTGTCACCTGTCCCCCCCCATGCAGGTCCCGGATGTGCCTCTCAAGTTTCCACCGCTTTCTAAATGGTTTAGTTGCCCTTGGGCAGCCCGGGACGGGACACGCCCGGATTTCAGGCATGCCTGACCGGTCGAGTTCCTTCAGTATACTTTCCAGCTCCACTGGCTCTAGTTTCATAGAGCCTGCCGCCTGTCCTTTATGCGCGGTCCGGATGTGCTTCTCAAGCTCAGGGCGCTTTCTGAACCCATTCGCGGCCCTCGGGCAGCCCTGGTAGGGACAAACCAAGACTGCCTCCGTAGCTGGCCGGCCGTAACGTGGCGTCTGTGACACCGGTTCTGTAAAGCCTGCCGCCTGTCCATCGTGCACGGTCTGGATGTGCCTCTCAAGGTTCCACCGCTTTCTGAACCCATCCGTGGCCCGGGGACAGCCCGGATGGGGGCACAACAAACCTGCTGCTGGCGTACCTGGCCGGCTGACGCGTGGTGTTTGTGGTTTCGGCTCAGGCGACGACGCCTCAGTGAGTCGGACACTCGAATGGCGGCTAATCGTGCGGATCTGGGCCAGCTCAACCTCAGACTCGTCGTCGTCTCCATCCGAGGACGGAGGAAGGGGTGCTCCTGGCACATACCGCACTGTCTCTAGCCCGGCCCGGCCGCTGGCAGCAGACCGCTCGTGCAGCGTATGCATCGTCATCTCCTCCCTGAAGAGCGTAGAACATCGTTGCGCGGCGCGGGCGACGACTGAGGGCGAGAATCCGGCCAAGGCAGCGGCACCCAGCACGTCCCGCCAGTCTCGCAGGCCCCATCGGCCGAGGAGTTTCTCCCTGTTAGTGGATGAAGCGCTGGAACTTCGAGGCCCGGATTGCCGCGATAAGGAGCTTCTCTGGGAGCTCGCCCGCGACTCTGCCAGCGAAGATAGCGATGATTGCCGTCCTCTGCTAAGACTCTTGCTCCTGCTCCGGCTCCTGCTCCGGCTGCGCTCGTCCTCCCCGGATCCCGCCGTATCCGTAGAGAAGGTAGGGATTTTCCTGTGGTTTTCTTTGGCCAGCCTGACCAGCATCTCCTGCTCAGTTTCTCCTTCAAGGGGCACGTGCACCTTCTTAGGCCTGCCGCCTTTATATCGCCGTGGCGCCGGTGACTTTTCCGGTGATGGTGACGACCTAATGGACATTTCCTCGGCATCTGTCTCGTCCTCGTCACTAGCAGAGGACTCGGAGATGTTGCCGAGGCCTGCGGCGCGCTGGTTATGCAGTATCATGAGCGTATCGTCAAGCTTCTCCATTATCCGCCTGGCTGCCGGGCGAAGCAGCGCGTAGGACCGCTCATCGTCCGCCGAAAAGACGGGCGTGAAAGTAGGTGAATCCCCTCTGCGCCTTCTCTTCCTCGGCCTCCCAGGTGGCGCATCCGCCTCCGTCTCTTCGTCCACAGCGCTTATCGCGGCGGTATCCGACGCTTCCGTCTCGCCTTCAGTAGCAGCAGCATCTCCCTCCTCGACAGACGGGAGCACTTGCTCATCCTCGGGCTTCCCCTGCAGATCCCTCTTCCAGAACTTCTCCTTAGCACGCCGCAGAATCATCGCCGAGATCTCCTCCTCCAAATTCGTCCCTGCAAACGTCTGCGCCTCCTCCCTTCGCAGGGTAAACGACTCATTCACATCCATCGTCCTGGGCAGCAACCCATCATCCGGGACCTCATCCGCCCTCATAGGCCACGCAGTCCATGCCTTGTCAAACTTCCATGGCGTTTGCCCATCATCCTCACCCTCTGCTGCATGCCCATCCTCATCATCCTGCATCATCACCATCAGTTTCATCACCCCGCATCCCACTTATAGGTAGGCAACGAACTCACCCCGTCATAATTGGCACTGACATTGACATTGGCATTGGCATCAACCGCAGGCCCAACCCGAAACCCCCTCCTCAACCCATAGGCATTGTACAAATGTACAGCCAGGTCCTCCCTCCGGGCATTCTCCAGCGCCGTCCACGTCGCGCGGTCGAGCTCGGTCCACTTCTTCCAGGTCGTCGGGTGGCCGCGCCAGCGGTTGGGGCGGGTCTCGTGCAGGTCCTCCGAGTCGAGCGAGTCGACGTCGATGTTGTCTATGTTGATGTCGATGTCGGATGTGTCCATCATATCCGGGTTCATCTCAGCCTTTAATTCGGTGTCCATGTCTTTTTTTTAAGATTCAGGGCGCGTCCCCTTTCACGTCATTCGTTGGTTCCGGATATTGGCTTTTTGGTGGAAAGCTGCGGTGGGGGATGATGTTTTGATGATGGTTTTTGGTGAAACAGCTTCCAGTAAGGGTCGAGACTGAGAAGTGAGTTCAGGTGAGGTTTGGGTGTGGACTTTTGCTTGGATGTGGAGATTCATCTAATACAAGAGCACTACAGATAGTGATCATTACTAAAACAGCCGAGATACCAGGTAGGTGTGTATACGATGGATGGTATTGACGGAATCGGGATGCTCTGAGCCCGTTGTTGGTGGAAGCTGAGAAATGTGAAAGTGCAGGACAGTCTTGCAAGAAGGGCACTCAGCCCTAACCCTCAGGAAGAACTCGTGGCCCTAGACACTTAACATCGAGGGAGTTTCTTGTGTAAATGGTTGAGGCTACACAAATGAGCAGGGCATATCATCAATTTGATGGTATTGAGATTTCGTCTAGCGGTTTCAAGGAGCAAGGTCGGCAGCCACGACATCGTAGTTGTCTGGTGGAAGAGTGACATGTTTGGAGTGAATCCCACACGGCCAGATATTGAGTGATATAAGGTAGCTTGCATGTAGTAAACGCAAGTCATCAAAACAACCTACCCAGTTCACTCACAGACAACTAGCAACCTTCGATGGTATCTCATTATAAGTACCCATACCAAGAAA